CACAGCCAGATACCTAGACCAGTGTAGGAGCTTTATAATAAAAGTTGATGATTAAGAAACACAACCAGATGGGTTTTTTTGGTTATTGAAATGATGGCTAAACCTTCATGGATGGTGTTAGTAGAATGGAAGTTGTCTCTACAAATGTTTAACTATATTTTGTCCACCTAAAGGATAGGAATTGGAACTGTTAACTGTTAAAGGAATGGTCCATTCCCCAGTAGGCAATAAAAAACTCACAATGGTAAATCAATCCCTTCTTTTCTAATATTCAGCCTGTGTGTTCAACATCTTATGTAGCCACAACAGTACTGCTTACTCACAAGAGAAAGAGATCAGCAAATCAAGGGAAGATAAGGTCTGCAAAAGTTTTAAAACATGTAGGAGAAAACTGAAAGGGAGAGGAAAGAAACCCTAAAATAGTTCCTCCAGGATAAATTCAAGAAATGGCAAAAATTAATGAACTGCAAGAACATTTATGGATGCTTCTTTCTCCCCTCCCCACAAGCTTCAGACTGAATCTTATACACACTTACCTAGGAGTAAGTCTCATTGAACTAAATTGGACTTACTTCTGAGTAGAGATGTATCTATTCTTAGGCTCACAACTATGATCAATGGGTGGATGTCTGCTAGAGCCCTTTCAGTGGATGCCCCATAGCTGTGAAATTTTCTCTTTTGAGAATTCCACTTGGTTCCATTTTTGGTCACTTTTACATGACTGCCAAACTCTTCCTTTTTATTATTCTTATTTATCTCATTATTGGACCTCTATATGTTTTTAATTTTCACTCTTTTTACTGTACATTTTCCAAAAAAAATTGAAAATGTAAGTATGGGCAACATTTACAGGTAACATCCATAATAAATATGGAGATTCAACTGTTTCTAATAAACATAATAAAGGTATACAGTACTAGCAGGCTGAAGAGGAAGGATACTAAGAGGGAGCATGACATCTATAATGATATTAAATAAATAAAAATTCAGACTGGATTGTCTCACATGCTCACAGACTGTGCAAAAGGATCATGTTATGGGTCAAATCAACATGAAAGGGAAAGGAAACATGTGATACCAAACTATGAAGTCACTAATCAATGAGTTATTTTCAGGATATGGAAGAATCCGCAGTGTTAGGAAGAAACGTGATCTAATTTCTCTTTGACCTCTATATTCATGCTTGTTTTAAATCTGAACATTTATCCACATGCTCCTTAGCCTAGAGTGAAGGCAAGAGGAGAAGGGGACAACAGAGGACGAGATGGTTGGACAGTGTCATCAAAGCTACCAACATGAATTTGACCAAACTCTGGGAGGCAGTGGAAGACAGGAGGGCCTGGCATGCTCTGGTCCATGGGGTCATGAAGAGTCAGACACGGCTTAATGACTAAACAACAAGAAATACCATATTTACCATGGAATTCTGAATATGTTTCATGGATGAGCTGTTCAGAGCCCTAGAACAAACCACTCCTTGTTCAAAGAATACCCACAGCTGACTCCACTACTACCAAGCATGAATTGGATATTCTGTTCAAGTTCAGATTGTTCCTGCTCCAAGGAAATTAATTAATGCACACATTTCCTTATTAAATTCAATAGAAATGGTTGTTTAGTCATTAAGCTGTGTCTGACTCTTTGGAACCCCATGGACCAGAGCATGCCTGGCCCTCCTGTCTTCCACCCCCTCCTGGAGTTGGGTCAAATTCATGTTGGTAACATGAACAGAAATAATACATCAATACTTTTCCTTAATGCACATTTCTTTAAAGATGTACAGATATCCCACAAAAAACAGTCAAACCCTTGTATCTTATGTTCTCATGTCTTCAAAATGTATTTACATAGCACTGATTCTGCAGCTGGCTTCATCCTTTTAAAACTAAGTACACCAATGCATGTGCCATGTTTGTACTCAACACTAGTATTTCTTGAATGACAGATAAAAGCTTTATTGTTTTTCAGCACTGCTACATATCTGCACTGATATCCGAAATGATAGTATTTAGAAATTAGACTTGTATAGCAGTAGAGTTGTTGGTCTCATATGACCAAGTTTAAAGACATAGGCCCTGTATTCTAAGCAAACAGCGAGACTGCTGCCTGAAATTCTCTTGTTAGTATCACACATGTACAGGGATCCAGGAGCAGTTTATTCCAACTAAATATTCACACAAACTTCCTGGATTAGCAGAAGATATGTCTATGAAAAGGAGAGAGGAAGAAGAGTCTTGCCCCACCTCCAAAAGGAAAGAGTACAACTTGTGTTCCCACTAGCCCTGAACATCTGGACTTCCAATGATTTATTCCTGTCACATACTGGTGTCCCCAAAATCACATCAGTTCTAAAGCTTGTAAGACCTACTTTTTTTGTATTACAATCATCAGAATCCCCACCAGCCTAGCAGTTCTATATACTTCTGCACTCTGGGCAATGCTTGCTATATCCCTTAGAATAAAAACAAAACAAAACAAAAAGCCAAGCAGAAGTGGGGAATGGGGACAAAATCATATTTGTCTAGCTCAGCCATTCCAACTCAGTACCACCTAGTATAACCTCAGCCACGTATGTGGAAAACTTGTGGGGCTATTTAGGAGTACTAGCAGTGAGACACATCTTTTTGGTTTAAAAAAAAGTGCAGAACAGAAGGACTTCAGTTCACTTTTAGCTAATGACACAATACCAGAGGACTTCTACGGGTCTCTAAAGTGTTTTGCAAACATAAAGGTATGTTTGCAAAATAATACAATAATGTAATAGAGGTTGCCTAAATGTTTACACCCAAGGAAACTTCTGTTCTCAGACCTGTTTCCAACACTAAGCTGTTATCCTAGATATTCAAGATTTCCAATGTGTGCAAAAACAGACATTGCCAGCACACTCCCAAGTAACTGTTCCACATTCCAGTTAAAAGTATCATGTGTTTGGAATTACAGGAAGGGACAGTGAGAACATGTTAATAGGCCCGGTACATCCAGTCCGTCCTTGTCAACCTACTCCACTACTCTTTTAATCATCTGTTGGTCAGGGGTGGCCAAATCCTCAATGATCTTGCAACTCAGGACCTCTTGGCTCAACCCACTTTTCGCATGAACTCCAACAGGATGTTTTGTTTTAACTCTGCAACTGGACAAAAACAAATAAACAAACCCTAATAGATAAATCCTGATACCTCACTCTTAGAGCCATCCCATTTCTTCTGAACTGACCACTTATCAAGCTCCAACTGAACAATTTTTTAATTCATCTGCATGTGTTGGGCCCGACTGCACACTAAAAAGGCTGGTCTTGAGGCATGTTGGGATGTTCACAGTCTTTCCTACTAAACCAAATCAGCAATTCACAATCAACAGTGAACTATTGTGACAGGAAATCATTGAACAAGCTAGGATAATGGTGGTGAACTTATGACTCTCCAGACGCCATTACGAACTAACTCTGCATCAGCCCTACTCAATACAGAAACCACCAGGGCAGACAGTGGCTTATCAATTCCCCATTCCTGAGCTTGATGAGGGGGAATATAATTTGCATAAACGTGGGAGGATGCTGAACAGAGTGAGAGGATAAAGAGTGTTTTGAAAAATGTCTGCATTTAATCGAGCATTAAATAACCAAAAGGAAAAATTGACCTCAAAGAATCCTGGAAAGATCTATCAAGTTATGAGACTACACAGCAATTTCAGGGACCTCTCACTAGAGATTTCTGGGATTCCAAACTGGGAATCTCATGGGATTACTGGGTGTTGGCACACATACAGAGGTACCCCTGTGCATATTGTGTGAATATGAGGTGTTTGCTCTCAAAATCTCACTGTAGCTTCACCTCTCCTTGAGGCATGCCCCATTATGGCTCCTGCTACTGAGCAAATTAGTAGTACAAAGAAAATGTGTTTTGTCTTCTTCTGGAAAAATTGGTACAATTCTTTCTAGCCCTTTCACAGAACTATAACTTTCATAGTTCTTTTAGCTGAGAAACATGGCAGTCACACTATTGCCATGTTGTGGTCTATGTTCTTCCTCTTCCTTTGTTTGACAGACAAGCAAGAAAGTGACAATCTTTATGAGGGGGATTACTTCTAATCTAAACAAATGTAAATTTGTTTCTGTTTTTCTGTTACATAACCAAATTAAAATGACTGGAGAGATTTTCACAGAATTTGGAGGATAGATGTGAACGATCTAACTTTTAAAAAAACAGGCTATGTGGTATCCACACTGTCTGTTTCTAAAGTTAGATCATCCCAAATCTATCCTCCAAATTTTCAGGACAGGATTTGGGGAGCCCTGATGGACACCTCAATTACTTTCTCCTAAACAGGTTGACAAGTAGGTCCTGCAGTCTTAGACAGTCTACAGTATTGCTTGTGTATTGCTGGGGTGCTCTGACTTAAATTGCAGACTATATGATGCACATAAAAATCATTTTGGGTATACTCAGGGATATCCCTTTTTTGTACAGAGTTCTAAGGTTCCTCACTTTAAAGATGTGAATGAAATATAAATGTTTAGAGGTAAGCCATAATTTTATACACCAAGGAGGGCTCCAAACACTTGTTAATCAGAAGTCATGCTTGCTGGTGGATTTGGGGAGTTGTATTCCTCAGATAAGCTGAATGAAATGCAGAGAAAGAGAGGAAGTGACATCAAAGAAAGGGGGTGCACAGAAAAGAGAAACTTCACTGGAGTGAAGGCAAGACCCAATGAATTTTAACCTGGGCATAGCCAAGCCTATTGGCTAGTAACATTATTTTTAAAAAGAATACCATCTTTCTTGTGGTATGGACATGTACAGAATCTTGGGCCATAAGCACCTCTTGACAAAATAGCTGGCAAAATTTTCTACTTCTAATAAACTGGTCCTTGATTTCCAATGGGTCAAGGAGTGACCAGGGCATATCTCCTCCCAGAGAAATAGATCTAGCACCAGAGATCTTGTCCTGCCAACTCAGCAGTTGATGTTGGCTTCTAGAACTTAGCTTAACATCTAGAACACGTTGGGCTAAACCAATGAATAAGTGGGCCAGGCTCTCTCTGTTATTCCTATAGCCTTGGCGGTTCATTATGGCAGGTAAGAATAAGGGAGAGGGATCCTAGAGATGATACCCAAACAGTCCTTCTAATCAAGTCTTCCATATTTTACCCAGGACCTAGAAAATTTAGGGTTTTCGTCCTCAGACTCCCAGAATACTTCAGCCAAAAGCCATAGCAGTTGGGGCGTCTGGGAGTGGCAGCCGAAAGAACTAACATTTCCAAGCTCTGAGTCCGTACTTCCCACCATATTGTAGCCTATAGAACCACACAAGAGGCTAGCACTTCATTTTAGCCTGCCACAATCCTGCATTTCTTACAGCTGTCCGTTTTGATGTAAGCCCTTTATGTATAATGTCCTTCTGGCCGTTCTGGCCAATTCAGGCCAGAACATGGGAAGGGAACACTACGAAATGAAGGCTCTCCTAATTAGCCAGGTTCAACAGCATCAAAATACTTTTTGCCAGCAAGCACCAACCTGAAAAACAGCTAGTCTTCAGATATACTTGCCAGAAAATACTGCAGATGAGGTCTCACCTTAAGCAATCTTAAGATGCTACTACCACCACAAGGCATTTGGGAAAAGGAAGCCTGTTACAACATTTCTGGGGCCACGCTTGTGCATCCAGCACAACACAGCATAGCTGCAGGGTCAGAGAGACTACGTCCCCACAGAAGCCATAATAGGTTAAGTAAGTCTTGCATTTAGATTCAAAGGAAATCTTTCATGCCAGAACCATACAGACTTCACAGACCACACTTTGGGGCATAGATGTTATTTAGTCTCTCCCTTGTTTCCACTTCTGCCAGGACACCGACCACTTTATTGGTAGCTAAGGAAGCTTTCACTGATGCCTTTGCATGAAACACTACCACTTGAGTGTATATTATCTTACAGGTGCATTGATGAACAAGCTGAATTACTGTCCCTCCACTTCAGAATATTTTGGAAAATGAACCCCCTCCCCAACAGCTGTATTGTTTCTTCTGGAGCAACCTCCTCTGGCCTGCTAGCTAAGAGATTCTTCCATGTTAGAAGTAGCTCCAGAGGATGTAGTTCCTCTCCTCTCGTCTAATATTACAGCCACACATTCCCTTTGTTTCATATTCTAGGCAGAGAAACCCATGCGGTGTCTCGTTGTACAGTGCTCAGGAGGAAGTATAAGTCTGTAAAGAGGCAGCACTACCACAGCCAGACTAAAAAAACGGCCTGGGGAGAGACAAGTGGGAGACAGAGACACTTGAGTTGTCCTGAGACAATCTAGAATTTCACCGCAAGATTCCTCTTCCTGGTAAAGTGCAGCTCTTCCACTTCTCCACTGACTGTGGCTCATTTTTGTTAGAAAAAGCTGTCTCCCCAGCCAAACCATCAGGGCACCATGGAGGGGGGGTAGTGGTATTGCTAAGTTAGAAATGAAAAAGATGATGTGAGGGGAGAGTCAGGCACTGTGCAGGTTGCCCACGTTGCTGCTTGGTGGCTGGCAAGAGCAAGCAAGCATGACCCTGGCCAGATAGGTCTCAGCCAGGGAGGAGCTAGATTTGATACAGCATGGGCGTGAGGGCAAGTGAAGCACTGAAGTACAGGTAGCTGCTTATATGCTTGTATTTCCGACACAATAAGGCTGTGCTGCAGCATCTTGAGTGTATACTATACGTAGAGGTTTCTCCAGCCTGGCGAGATGGTAAGTCGATAGATCTAATGGTGGACAGCAGCAGATCATTATCTAGCAGTAGTCTTTCCATCCTGGGGTATCTGTCTGCCTTTGGTTGCTGGGGTTTGGGCCTGGGCTTTCCCTTTCTGTCCTTTTCTGAGCATGCCTGGTGAAACAGGGGCCTCTGTTGACAGGCCCCCAGCTGCTTGAGCTCTGGAAGGAGCTCGGGAAGAAGGCTGAGCCCATGGAGGGCATGTAGTCCCTGGCCTATGTTGTCGGGATGGTGATGAGCTTTCCTTTCTGGATAGCGATTGGCTTTTCGAGGAAGCACTGAGGTTTCGTGGAGGGAGAATAGGACTCCTAGGTGGAGGGCGAAGGGGTTTCCTTGGACTGCTCCGTAAGGGAGGTGTAGCAGGACTTGGGCTTGGTTTTATGCGGGAGTCACCGGATACACTGCCAGACGGTCTTTGCCCCTGTAGTCTAGAGGAAAAGAACAAAGAGAAAGAGAAGAGAGGGCTTTTAGTGTCAAAGCTACGAGCACTGCCAGACCATGGACAAGACCATATGGCAGCAATTGAGGACAACATGGCAACTGAACACAAAAGACCCATTGGCCAAATTCCCCTTCAGTGCAACAGCAAAAGTGGCAGATACTCCCCATGCACAAGTCATGCTACCTAATACGTAAGGCCTCGTTCATACAATTTGGAAGGCTCAGCACCATTCTCACAGGACAGAGAAACAAGCCTAGCCTGTGTTTCATACCTCTCCCACAAGGTGGCCTTTCCACACCTGGTTCCACAACTGTACCAACTGTGTGCAGTTCTTTCCCCTTCAAAACGTGGGGGAGGTTAGAGGAGCAAAGGCTTCTTCATTACTGGGCATTTGCAAGCTGCCCTAATGTGCCATTTGCTTCATGGAATGGAGGCGGATAAGCTCACTCCACTACCACCTAGGTGTCAAAAATTACAAAGCTTTGGAAGCTTTTCTTTTCAGACAAGCATCTCTTGACTAATAAATTCTGGCCATGCACTTGCATTTATGGTAACGTTTTTGTATTTGCATGTCTGAATGCATTGCACACCACTCCCAGATTTCCAATATGGAGGAGTTTGCAACTTCAGTAAATACATAAATAAAGTGGAGCTTAAGACTCTTGCTTGACAAATAGCAACTACACTGAGAACTGAAAGCTACAGTGCCCTAGTTGCTGAATATCCCAGTGGCATTTCCCTCCCATTGCTGAAAGGGAATTTGACTAAGCTATAAAACAGAAGAATGAAAACGTCTAGAAGCTTCAGTACTGTCCCTTTCCCCAGGACTTTAGATGACACCCTCTCCAGACCTCTCCCATGAGCCCCCACCTGGTCACTTCTGTTTTTTTGTTGTTGTTTTTTTGGGAGGGGGGAAGAAAGGCTTCCCAGCCTAGAGACAGGTCTGAAGGGACTAAAGCCAATGTTCTCCTAAAAGGCACAACTGGCCATTTGGGGATCAATTTTCCCCCAAGCGGACATGGAGGCAGCCTGATCCCTGCTCTTACACCATGTGTAATATTATCTGACATTTAAACCCTCCCCCCCTTCCCCTGTGCACACATGCGGCCACTAAGCCTTTATGAAGGCTGTCTTCACCAAATGAGGGGTAGTTAGCTGCCTCAAATTGCTTGGCCTCTATTTCAGAAAAGACAGGTGTACCTGTTTGTCACATCCATGTCACCTGGACTGCTACTCAGTGCTGGTGGTGGAAGAGTCACAGGGCTTCCACATTTCAGTTCTGTCATAGGTGGTTTCACAGGCACAATGGGGCGAGGGATTCTGCTCTTCACACTTAAGCCTCTCTCCTCTGTCTTAAGGAGGGGAAACTTTTCCTGACTCCCCGTCTTCCTTGGGGTAAAGTCATCTGAGTCATGGGTGTCCTCCTCGGAGCCAGTGGCTGACAAGGTTTCTGAAGCCCGTCGCCTCTCGTCACTGGAGGAAGCAGAGGACGAAGCTCCTGAAGCTAACCTGAGCAGACGGTTTTGCCTTTTCTCCATCACCAGGCGGGCCAAATCCTGCTGTTTCAATCTCTTGTACAGCCTCTCTTTGCCAGAGTGTGAGGCTGAAAGATCTGAGCCAGTGTCTTCTTCAGAGAGCAAGACAGGAATTCGGCTTCTGTACCTGATGCTCAGAGGTTTCTTGGGACTTGTCCTTGGAACCTCTGGAAGCAGTTCTACTTGTTTAAGAGATTCTGTGGCACAAAAATGGTTTTCAAGTCCAGGCTCCTCTGAAATTAGCTTATCAGCTTCTTGTATATCTGACTCAGGGACAGGTTTGCCTTTAATGTCCAGTTCTTCTTCTTCTTCTGTTTTACTAACACCATTGAGAAGCAGGACCTGCTCCCCTGCAGTTTCAGAGGTGGTTTCAATATGGTTCACAGAAAGAGCACAGCTTTCCATCTCTCCTCCATCAAGGGCTGAATTCACACTCCCATTTTCTACCAGCACCTGATTTTCATCTAGCTCTTCTTCAATGATGACCTCTTCAAACTGCCCTGGAGTTGGGTATTCCTCATGCCTCATCAGCTGGCCACCGGAAGACATGATGTTCAAATGGGTCTTTTCAGCTATATGAACAAATGTGCGCTCAACTTTGGTAAAAGGAGAAGAAGCTGTGGCCACAGCAGTGGGAGGCTTTGGTTCTGACTTGAGGATGGAGGACAATGTTCCTGGTTCAGATACATCCAGCTGGCTTCCCATTGGTTGTGGTTTCTCACTTTGAGGAGTCAATGCAGCGAGAGTCCCAAGATCAACATCAGGAGGCAAATCTGCATTCATAGGAGACTTCTTTATATCACCTGGTGAAAAGAGAACTAATGTTTTTGAGCCCTCCTCAAGTTCCAAGTCTCCTTCTGCTGCAGATGCTCGGCCCTTGGACTCCTTCTGGTCATCAGCCAAAAGGGTAGATGGAGCTCCTTCCTGACTGCGCTCAGTACTTTTCTGGCTCACGTCACTGCTTGAATCACTATGCATGTCAAGCTCGTCTCCTAATTCACCAACAGCCTCCTCCTCCTCTTCCTCCTCCTCTTCTTCTTCCTCCTCCTCTTCCTCGTCCTCCTCCTCTTTGCATCTTCCATTTGCCATTTCCAGATGGGCTATGGGTGGTTTGCACGGGGCAGTTAAGACAACATTTGAGAAATCCACCTTCTTCACACGCTGGAGGATCCTGGATCTTTCCCTGTTTTCTGACACATCCCTTTTGAAATCTTTGTAAGGCAAACTTAAAGGCACCACCTTGGGGAGACCATTCATTTCAAAAGGCTTCAGTGTGAACACCTAGAACAAGACATTTTAAAACACGGTTATCCAGAAGAACACAGAGACTACAAGAAAAACGGTGTGGCACCTTGAATTGGTTTAATCACCATCTCTTCAGCAGATTTAATTATAGCTAAAGAAGACCAATGATTGAGAATCTTTTCTCCTGTTAGGGGTCACATTTCCTATGGAACAATCTGTTTAGGAGTGCATGTCAACACTAGGTAGAGCTGAAACCTGTAGTGGGCAGGGCCAGAACCCAAACGAGGTGGGGATCCTTATTTTTTATTTTTTTCTGATACACCATCTTTTCTCTCTTTTCCTCTCTAACAAGCAGACTGCTGGAGGAGAAACAGACCCCTCTTTTCAGAAGTCTCAACTGATTGCTCACACAGGTCTTTTGAAATTATGACTAGAGCTTCATGCCCCGTGACACAGGTTGCCCATCCTGATCCAGACAAATCATGATACCATAAGAAATAACCCCTAGAGGTAAGAATCACACTATCTATGAATATAACTACTATATAAAAATAGTGTGTGTTCAGATACAATGGAGGGTACATTACCACATGGTACTAAATCTTTTCACTGAAAGCCCAACAGTGTCTTCTGGGATGTCCGAGGAGCAGTTCGTTGAATTTCCCCCTCATTCTTTTTTAGTGCCTCATCTTGGCTATCCAGCTATAATATTAATAGGAAAGAATGAAAGGCAACTGCCTCTTATTAAGATCAGCCCACTACTGCTAAAGACAAGCAAGAGGCAACACCCTTTCCTCACTTCCTGCTTGTGTGATGTCTGATGAACACACCTAAGAGGTAACAATGCCAAAACCTATTATTCAGTTAAGGCATCAGCAGACTTGTGGATCATAATGCAAACCCAAATAAATTGTAGCTGAAAAAAGGTACATGTGAAAAGGGGAAAGAATCAGGAAGCATTTCCTTTTTTGGACTGCAGCTTCCAGAATCTCCCAGCCAACATGGTCAGTAATGGGAGAATTCTAGAAGCTGTCATTCAAAAAAGTTTCCCGGCTCTGAAAAGAGGACAGATGATGCTGTGAAAGTAACAACTCATAAGGTACACAGCAGTTCACAACACCATGAACAGGAGGTCTCATGAAGTACAGCGTGAAGAAAGAAGGATACAGTATAGAATGTCTTCACCCAACACAGTTATGGAATTCACTACTATACGATATAGTCATGTCCAGAAAAGTCAGAAAAGAGTTTTAAAAGGGTACTAGACAAATTCGCACAGCTCAGTGGTTTAGGTCTCTGGCTGCAGAGCCAGAAGTTGGGAGTTTGATTCCCCTCTGTGCCTTCTAGAAGTGGGCTGGACTCCTGGTACTGCTGTTTGGAGTACTTTGAACATTGCTCGTGTCTTCCTGCTGTGTGATTCCTTAGAGCTAGCTGCACCTTTACTAGCTGCTACTGCATGTGATAGAAAGTTGGCTGGCATAGTCCCCTCCCCCACTGCTGTTGCTTAATGGCCATTGCCAGCTGTTTAATTCAGGGTCCAAGAGGGTTGCCGGAACATACTTTTTCTTCCACAAAGAGACAAACCTGTAGTGAAACAGCTTGCTGGCCAGGGCCAACAGACCAAGAAAAAAAATGCTGTTCTTCTATGGATCCTCCCATTCACTTAGATTGTCCCCTCATTATGCCCTCTGTCATGCCAATCAAGCCCTGGGACATTGGGAACACATGGCTAAGGATGGCTATCTTCCCACCAAAGACCCGTGTTGCACTTTCAAAACTTCAGAGGACATAGATTTCACAGATAACGTCCCACTTTTCTTTGTTGTTAAAAATGCAAGCTTCTGCAACCAGGTCTGGGAATGAGTTAATTCTAGCTGGACTTACCTACACAGAATAAATTTGCCTAATCAAGAAAGATAAAGGAAACTAAAAGCAGAAAGACTATTTTTCCTTTGTTAATGCCATTGTTCATTCCCCTATGTTTAATAAAAATACAGAAGTAGCCCCTGAAGTGTTTTGTGTTGAGCATGTGCTTCATTGCAGCAGTGGTTGTGCCGACAAAATGGGAGAAATGGATTATGCAGGCAGCATGTAGCATGGGTTTCACAAACGCCCAGACCCTGCATCCCAAACAAAAAAATAGAAGCAACCTGCATTTCAGGGCTCTTATGAATACCCACATAACTAATTGACATTCTACTTCTGATCTCTTTGCCCTGAGGGAACAATGAAGAGAATGGCAAGAAGTTTGTGCCATAAGCTCCTAATCTAAGAAAACTGTTAACAATTCCCAAGGGAACACAGACAAGAAAACCCACCAAGTTAGCCCATGAAAGAATTTTTAAGAATTAAGAAGAGTGTTGTAACAATCCCTTTCTAACCTTCCCTACGTGACAGGTCTGTATCCTGAAGGAAGATTGAGGTCCAGGATAAGGAGCAGACCTAACTAGCCCTTGAAGGGATCACTGATGACCTGAGAAGACTGTTGGGTCAAACCTTCCCGCACTTCCCCTGCTTCAGGCCTCTATGATTAATCAGAATATTAGCAAACAATTTACTGTATCTTCTTTTCATCCCTTCCTGAAAGTCCACTGCATGGATAAAGGGAGGGACACCCTTTAAGGGAATTTCTTCATATGCTACTCCACCTATGTATGCTGGGATAAGACAGTCACAAGCAGCCATGTGGTCACTCTTCCTTTTATCTGTGCCAAATTTATGGTCGTTTTTTAAATCAGAAGAGGGTAGGAAAATGAAATATTCCTCACATATGACATATTTTGTTCTTGGGGGCTTGGGGATGATGCTGGGAGTGGTATTCAGAAAAATAGACTACATAGAAAACCAAGGTCATACAAATAGCTTGTATTCCTGGAAAATAGAGAATCAGCGACCTTTACCGGCCATATGGTTCTGCCCAACCTCCAGAAATGTTTTTTTTTTCAAAAAACCGAAACAAAACACTGCACACTTACATTTATTTGTACCTAAAAATTGTGCTGCTGTTCAGTTGTTGCTGTTTATTAAAAATCCTCTGAGCTTGACAAAGCCATGGGGGGGGGGAAACCCACAAAAACAGAAGAGACAGAAATTTTGATCATGATCACAATATCATGTAGATGACTGTAAAAAGTGAGCATAAGCGAGTGAACTAATAGGAGTGATTGCACAATAAGCATTCACTGTAGAGGTGTCTACAATTATGGGTGTGTCTCTTTTAAAAAAACAAACACCTCCAACTCCCAGAATTCTTCAAGAATTTCCTAGGCAGAATTGCAGGAATTTCAACCCATGATACATACCTACAGACACCTATGCTTCACTCACCTGGAGCAGGGCCGGCCCCAGAGGTTTCTGAGGCCCATGTTTTTAGTTGTTAATGTACAAAAATGAAACTGGCCTGGAGGTTGCTAGGAGGTCTTGGCCATCCCTGGAGGTACAATTCTTTTGGACTATACCCCTATAGAGTCTAACAGGCAGTGGGATTACTGGTCCAGTAGCCCCCACAACACACTGTGCTGAAACCTGGAGTTTTAGTATGTTAATTACAAAACACCAGTAGACTAAATCAAGGTCTAATTTTTGCTATTCTTTGCTTGTAGTCTCACCACGTACTCTATTCTTTAAAACTGAATTTTTCATTGCAGGCAAGGAGAAAAGAAAGCCCTATTCAGCCTTTATACCATGAAACAGAACAGACCTGAATGAGCACAACACATCTGGAGTGATGGAAAAAGATCAGCCCGCTTTTGCAATTAGCAGCACTTGCAGGACAAAGAATTGTAGACACTTTGGGAACTAGGCTCTATCTTGGGCAGCATAGAACTATCAGAATGACTTCTGCTTTGCACTATAATCAACTACAGCTGGGAAAGTAGGGAATGTATATGGTGAGGCCCCTTTACCAAAAAGTCATCAATTTTATACACCTCTGAGCAAAGTAAGTTTGACATGAAGGTTTTCACTGAATGTTGTTTATGCTTCAAATAGTACTCTGAATTATTGTTACTAGGCAATCTGATCGAGGTTTGGAGTTGCATGCTTCATGTTGGAGAGCACTACACTAAAAGGTTTTTCAGATGTTATTTTAGACAGGTCAAAATCTTTCTGGGCCTGCTTGTACAGAAAATATGAGTGCCGCTCCTAATGTGTATTCAGCCACAATTTCATTGCTATGGCTATTAATAAGAAAAGGTGGTCCTCAGTTCTTGTTCTGGTCCAGGACCTACATCTGAATTTATTTATCTTTATATGTGCTTCATGTTATGACCAGATTCTGTAAATTATAGCCCCCATCTGACTCACATCTGGTGTAAATGGGATCCTGAGTGTCTTAGGAAGATGTAAAATCTTGGGATATTTCCTTTCACACAACTACCAGCTCAGGGTACTCACCTGTTATGAGATGGTCAATGGTAGGTGTTGGCTTTGGGAAAAATGACAAAAGGAGACCTATGAAGAAATATGAGATCTGGACTACACTGTTACTTCTTTGTTTAATATCAAGAACTGCACTAGCTCTGTATCACAGAATCATAGGATGTCAAGGTAAATTTACAGGCCTGAGCAGAATAAAGTATATTAATAAGCAGCCATAATGAACAGATGTGTAGAAACGGAGTCATGATGACTCAGCAGTGCTGACTCATGCATGATGCAACACATAATGTGATTGGACACAAGCAGATGTGTGCGTGTGCGTGTGCGTGTGCGTGTGTATGTGTGTGTGTGAAACTGTACAGTTGATGTAGCTTCCTGCTTTGTGATGAATGCTACCTGTTATGTTGCCAGACTGAACTGCTGTAAATATCCTGTAAATACACGCTGGTGGTGGAGAAGCTGCTGGTATGTGCGTGAGTTATTCTGGACTACCTGGACTAATCAATACTCTGCTAAATCTACTAAATATGCTATTTTTGTGTTTTTGCACTAACATAATGTTGGAAGGTTCCTATAAGGCCATGGGTCCAACCTGCTGCTCAATGCAGGAATCCAAACAAAAGTATATCTGACAGATGCTTGTCTAAGTTTTTCTTGAATGCCTCCATCGTTGGAGTGCTCACCGCCTCCTGGGGTAATTGGTTCCATCACTGTACTGCTCTAACAGTTAAGATTTTGTTCCTGATATTCAGCAGAAATTGACTTCATGTAACTTGAACCCATTATTACATGTCCTGCATTCTGGGATGACTGAGAACAGATCTCAGTCATTTTCTGTTATCCACTAAAAACAACTGAATTCCTATTTTGTCTTTCTTTGAACCAAAACTTTCTCTCCTTTGCCATGCCCAATATCACCCAATTTCAACAACCAACATCATAAGAAGCTACTTTATACCAGACAATATACTGATCTAGTTTGTTATCATATACTCTAACTGATGATACCGTAGCTCTCAAAATTCTCACACAAGTGAAGTAATGAACATGATGAATCATTGTGCTCAGGGAACTGGAGGGGGAATAACAGAGAGTGGAGATATATTTGCGAAGGCTTTCACAGCCGGGATCTAATGGTTGTTATGGGTTTTTCGGGCTCCTTGGCCGTGTTCTGAAGGTTGTTCTTCCTAATGTTTCACCAGATGCCAGCCACAGAGACTGGCGAAACGTTAGGAAGAACAACCTTCAGAACACGGCCAAAGAGCCCGAAAAACCCACAAGAACCAGAGAGTGGAGAGATTGACAAGAGCAATACTTCTTGGGCTTGCGCTGTGAGTAACCATAAGCGCAGCTGATGCACCTGTTTTGTGGCTCATGCTTGCCTCTCTTGCATTTGTGGGTGTACCTACACTTTTCCAGCAATGAACTGCTCCACCATCTTTCACTCCAATAACACAGAAATTTTTCAACTTGTTAAATTTTTGGGATCAGAATGCTGTACTTCTCTGGTATCCACCCCAGAAATTAGATTTTACACTGTGAATAAATATTTCTAAGGAACCTGTTGTGGCTGTGTGCACAAGAGAGCACTTTGGGAAATATTAATCCCTGTGATGTCCTCTGCCATATTTCTGTGGTTAGTTGTGCCCTCACCCGATGAGAGTGACACATTAAGGGCACCCAAGACAGTAAGTATATTGAGTTTGCTGCTACTGTTAGTCTCAGTATGTTGTCATGCTTGGACTCTTTTGCTCCATAGTGTGAGTCCATATAGGAGGTATCCTGTCCCACCAAAAAGGACAAGAGAGAGGATAACAGCTACAGCACAGGACTCTCATCACCTGTTTTCTCTCACTATAAATAAGGAAGCATCTCCCCACAAGGTGCCGATCATAAAATTGCTACCTTCATCCCAATTCTTGGGGAAAATAAACCACTATCTCCATCTCTCTTTGTTCTAGATCCACTAAGGAAGTCAAGAAGGGAAAGTAAGGAGAACAACATAACAACACAGAGGCCACACAAAGCACCAAAAAACCTCTGTTATCCTGACCAGACAAAAGGGAAGATCTAGAAGAGCAAGGTTTCTTTCTGTTAAATTCATGAGTAAATACTGTCCACCCCAAGGAGAAGATCCTAGGAAAAGGCAACTTTCTGACAATTTATAGGAGAAAGCTCTCCACAAATAGAGATGTCTATGTACCATTCAACAACCATGCTTCTATATGAATCTAAAAGCCACAGAATATGAAGGGAGTATCTCAGTTTCAGTGAAGGTCAAACTCAAAAAAAACAAGCATCACAAAATTCTGCCTTTGATTCTTTAATAAGGTTTTGGTAGTATACAAGCTTTCTTTTCCGATTGTCTGGATTAACATACATGGATTTAAAAAAGGCACAAAATCCATTGCACAGCTTCAGTTTAGTTTTTGTTTCTTCTTTTTTTTAAAAGATGAAGTTGCTTGTTAATTGTGATTTCAAGTGTAGGATTTTACAGTACTCTGCAGCATTTACAGCGTGTTCTACATACAAGTAATTCAGTGCATGCTTTTATACAGGAGACAGAATTCAAATTCTCTCTCACCATTAGTCTCTCTATATACACAAATAATACAGTGCTTTTATTCCGAAAAAAAGCTTCAGGGATTTTTTGTTCTTCTCACATGCTTGGTGCGCCCAGGAGAATAGTGCAAGCATATTATACAATGTTATTGCGGTACAAAAAGGGAAGGAAAGGCGTTCGGGATGTTACCTTGGGTTCTAACAGGGAATACACACGAAGAATAAAAAAAGGCTCAGGGAAAACAAACTTTTGAACCCCTTCACATAAATTGGTCCTTCCAGAATAATTCGTCCTATTACTTGATAAAGTTATAACTAGGAATTCTACCAAAAAGAAGGGTTCCAGGGCTTCTTTAGCTTTGATGCTGTGGTAAGAGCACTGCTGCTCTATATCTTTATCTTTCTGCAACATTTCCAAGATTATTCCAGCTCCTGGGGTTTTCATTAAAAAGGACTTCTTTGATATTAAGAATCATCTCCCTGTGTATCCTCCCCCCGCCAGACTTCAAAATTGATGTTTTGGAAAAAAAAAAGATAAAAATGTACTGCCACAACAGCCAGATGCAAAGCTAGTGCACCTACATCTTTTAACTGCTGGCTTGTGCACTTCTTTTCCAGAGTGAATTCACAGAATCAGAAGGAACCATGCAGGTAATCTATTCTAATTACTCATTAAGTGCAAGACCTATAAATACAGGATGTAATTACAGCATCTGTGAAAGAAGGCTGTGCAGCATTTGCTTAAATTTCTTCAGAAACAGGGAATCCACTTTCTCCAGGAGAACCCTATTTCACTGTTAAATCACTTTTAAGACGTTTCTCCAAGTGTTTAGCTAAAACCTACTTACTTGCATTTTCCACCAACTGGTTCTACTCCTGCCCTACAGAACAGCAAATATTCACCGCAGAGCCAACATAAGGTGTGAACATGTGTAGATATTGAGAAGAAATTTTATTCCAGAGAAGAAATAAATGATCCCTCAACCTGTGCCCAAGCTCCCCACTGCAGTTAAAGAGTTTGGCTCCTCTGTATACACAGTGACTCTGTGAAATGGCAAAGGCTATAGTTCTATGCACATCAAATTCAAAGGAAATCCCATTGAACTCAATGGGAATTATCTCAATCCATACCTATGAACAGAACAGAAACAGAAGTTGTTAAACTCTGCACCTCTTTATAATACTGTGAACTGATGAAATCACACTTGATCCAGCAATGGACAGAAGCAGTAGGGCTGTAGCTCAGGACAGGGGAAGACAATTATGACCCTCCAGAAATTTTTGAACTCAGCTCCCATAATCCTTTATGCTAGCTAGGTCTCATCATGTTGTAGCTCAAGAACATCTGGATGTGCATAAGTGCCCAAATCTGCTTTAGGAGATAAGGCAAAGGAAGAATATGCCAGTCCCTGAGGATGAGGGTGATTATGATTATGCAATGGTGGTATGGGACACTGGAAAGCCTGAGGAACAGGAAAAAAATAGTCATCAAACTGTCTTTAGGCATCAGAAACAGAAAGAGGCCTTAGCCCCGAGAAATGTAGCTGACAAGCCATCCCATAACATTTCAGTATTCTTTAGAAAAGGATTGTATAATCTGGGCTTTAGCATATCCTGGAAACAGGAATACTCTCTGCCAGCGGAATATGATATTAAGAAAAAATGAGAGATCTTTTATACCCCTGGATTTGGAAGTCTTGTAAATCTTGTATGAGAGCTGCTTTGTGAAATATAAAGACACAAATGTCCTTCAGAAGAAGCATCTCTGTGGTTTCAATGTGCTAGTTCCCACCATTTGAGTATTCTGAATGCCAGTGCTATGGCATATAGATGCATTATAATTTGCAAATACAATTTATTTCATTATTGGCTTCAGCATGAGCTGATGTGGTAGCACATCTGGAAGGCAACATCTTGTTCTCTTAGTTCTTACCTTGAGAACAGAAATTGTCCTACCAAAAGACAACTACTGCCCCTTCCTTCTCTGCTAAAGAGACCCACATTAGTTGTAGTAGGGAATAACAGCTCTGAGGGTTGCACAGACCTGGCAGTTCCTGGCAATTCTTGGTTATCTGTCAGTCATATACAAGACAGTATCCTGTTTCACAAGTTATGTGGAGTAACTTGGTTTTGAGGCATTAAACTCTTAGAACCCCCATCAGATTACAGTGATACCCAGGGATCCATGTCTACCTGGGGAAGTTTTTGGGAGCTGCAGATTGTAACAGAAAATGCTTTATTACTTGAAAATTGCTATTACTGGTCTGGTAATGTGACCAGGACCAGCATTAATTATTTCCAAGTATTAAAGAGTTCTCTCTCTCATTTCCTGGCTTGCAGAGGCTTCCCCAGGTTGAAGGGTGTCAGGAAATTACAAGGCTTGGAATAGAAGAAATTGACATCTTAGACTGAATGTATAAAGGAAGTTGTTAATCAGCCATATTGTACAGCTGTGTATAAAGTTGAGTCATGCTGACTAGGCAGAAGGCTGATGTAATTATTATGAGATCACCTAAGATGAGGTAAAAGGGACGTGGTGGCGCTGCGGACTAAACCGCAGAAGCCTGTGCTGCAGGGTCAGAAGACCAAGCAGTCGTAAGATCAAATCCACGCGACGGAGTGAGCGCCCATCGCTTGTCCCAGCTCCCGCCAACCTAGTGGTTCGAAAGTACGCAAATGCGAGTAGATAAATAGGGACCACCTCGGTGGGAAGGTAACAGTGTTCCGTGTCTAAGTCGCACTGGCCATGTGACCACGGAATATTGTCTTCGGACAAACGCTGGCTCTATGGCTTGGAAACGGGGATGAGCACCGCCCCCTAGAGTCGAACACGACTGGACAAAAATTGTCAAGGGGAACCTTTACCTTTACCTTTAAGATGAGGTAATGTCACCTGATTGATCATATGTACCATATAGTGTACATAGGAACACACATGTGCTGTGGAAAGTTGGAGTTGCTAGAGGACATGCTGCTGGAATACTTTGTGAAGACTGTATATATGTAATATAAGCTTTGAAAAAGAATCTGTTGTCTTGTGTTTTTCTTCTCTGTGAGGACCTTGGAGGCTGGTTGTAACCCTGGTTTCTTCAGTACACCCCAAGAAATACTTGACAAAGGGGATCCCTAAGAATCCCTGGAACCTGAGGGAAGAGGAAGCTTTTAAAGCCCCTTAAACAGCCATGGCATGGCCACATGCTATGATATCATACAAGTTATGCCTTGTAGGTTGTAAAACAGGAAGCTAGCCATTGGCTTACAGCAGACCAGCAACAACTTAAGCACTCCTCAGCAGGAATCCGAAGTGCTGAAACTACAGCCAACTGGATTTGTCCTTACTGAATCACACCAAACCTCATTAACAGTTCTTCTGTTTCTGTCCTAGGAAGAAAAAGGAAGCAGCAAACAGTCTGTCAAACAGGAAGCAGCAAACATTAAATTTTTCCTGGTATAGTTACAGTGCTCACAATGAATCTAACCTTGCTATCCTCAGGAAGGACCAAACTGAAGGAGCAAGTATGTATCCCATGAGCATCCTTCTTATTCCACTGTTAATATGAAGCAGCTTTTCAATGTGTATGCATTTCATGTTGGCAGATCACCCATCTGCACTTGCAATGAAGTGTTGATAAGGAAGCTCTTTGATTTCTTATAAAGAAGATATAATTAAGCCAGGTGCACAGAGGTGATGGGGCCCAACAGAAAACACAACACAGAGTAAAAAAATAAACCATACCACAAGTTTGTATCTGAGTGTTAAGTTGCATGCAGGTGAATGCAGAATGGAGATCAATTTTCAATCTCCAGGTTACATGGTTTAGCAGCTTGTTTTTAAAAAAGTACATTCATTAGAAGATAGATTTTTCAATGGTTTGAGTAGTACAAAGAAGGAGGAATTTCAATACATCTGATGGAGTTAGAAACATTTTCTATAAACATCATGTTTGTGCTGTCTTGTGGAACTGCTAATGCAGACCTAAATGTTATAGTGACCCCAATAGAGATTAAATGGTAGAAGGAGTGTAACATGGAAAAGAGCTAGAACACTGACCAGTTGTTATCTTACTAGGCAACGTTACAAAAAAGAACACCCTGCCAGATTCAAATGTTGTGTGGTAATACAACATCTGATAACTCTCAAGTCAAGGTGCCATATAGCTTCAGTCAAGCACTCTTGTACACTCAAAGACAGCTGCACAGAGAATAGGGTGCAAGTGATACAAGACAGTGCAAGAGCAAAATTATGATTGCCTAGGTCCTAGGAGGTCTTCAAAGCTATCAGCTCTAATATGCTGATGCAAAGGGAATCCACTTGACTTGAAGCCAGATCCAGTGGGAAGGTGCACTACAACAGCAGCGCCTCACAGGATGGGGCTCAAGGATTTTAACACCAACTAATGTGTGCCCTACTTCCAGCACTAGGAGACAGCAGCATCATAAGGGATACAGAGGTTAGACTGATCTACATGCCACACATACAGTTCCAGTTTGCTGCTTCAGGAAAATTGCCAAAATGGCTTTTCACCTATTTGACTGAATAGTTTTCCTTGAAATGCTAAACAAACAAACAAACAAACAGCTTAACAGACTAAGAAATTGTCTTTTCAAAATATTTTTCGAACAATAAAAGTTTGCAACAGCACTGTAATAAAGTGTGAGCCATCAGTTGCTGTTTATAGATCTCATACATCAAGCTGAGCAGCAGATGATCTTGCAATAAAGCAAAATGACCATCATGCTAATATGAAAAGGAGAATATTATTTGGTGTTTAAAATGACTTGCATTTCCATAACCTACCAATACCCATTTGCCACTCACATGATAATGATAAAGGAGAAAGTTAAATGAAAAGCAGCCAATTCAGGGATGGAAAAGATACTCATATTCTCAAGGGAAAGGAAAGTCTATACTGGAAGTGTTCTGATGCAAGTACTTTCATTGTGAGCTTTTTTCCCACAGGTGCTGCCTTTTCACATTGGAATGACATAATTACAAAAATAAGAAGACGAACAATGACCAAATGTAAACATGTCAGTTCAAGTAGCAAGCTTAAGGTGCCTGCTATTTACCGTATTTATAGGTTTGTGCAAAGCAGCTGTTTAAAATAAGTTGGGGCACTTTCAAATTTTTGCAGAGTGTAGGAACAGTAGTGAGCCATGTGAAATGGTGTTAAAGGAAAAACATGTTGTGCAAGGAAAAACACAGCACCAAAACAGCAGAGAAAAGAAGGATAGAAAGTCCAATGCTTGGTAAGAGAAAACTAGATAATGATTCATATATGCTGATATGTTTCAGAATAATGTCTTACAGGATAGACTCTAGACTTGCTGAGCGTGTTATATATGATGATAGCTGGAAGGAACTGCTGTTAGATCTGCATCTGATGCTGTCTGTGCATCCTATACTTCTAGTTTGCAAATATTGAAAATTACTCTGAAATATGTCAGCATGCTAGTAGTCATTCTAGTTTCTCTTTCTTAGCATGGGGTATTTTGCCTTTTTTCTCATGTCTATCCACAAATACCATTTACTCACAAATTGGTGCGGAAGCATGGCTTAGAATAGAAAACACTGTCCACTGTGCTGTTTAGTACAGTATAGGATAGGGACAGGAATTGCATGGAAGATATAGTCTTTGCTGCTGTGAAACTTGGAAATTAATCCAGGACACAATTTAGGGTGAAGGGTGGACTATACTCATTGTTATGTAGTGTCCAGGGACATGACTTGCAAGAAATTGGGGTACATAAATATGTGCTGCGCATTTGTGAATATATACATTCTTCGGGAAGAAAAGAGCTGTACTTATCAAACACAGAAACAGCAAATTATGAAATTCATATATTTGCTGGGAGGTAACATTTTGATTTTTAAAGAGCTTCAACACATTTAGGCTAGACAGCAATCCATTCTTACAAGTTCATTTCATTTTTTTTCCACAACCTTCACAACCAACCAACCAACATGGGCAATCAAGAGAACAAACAAGAGAAACTAACAATAATGACAGATGAAGGAAGCACCGTCAAAATTCATTGAGAGAGGCATGACGCAGCATGAATTATCATGCCAGCTTCAAAAACTCACACAGAAAGGTTTACTGTTGGAAAGCTCAGCCTATTTCACACCAAGGAAATAAAATCACCATTTCATGGAACCATGACAGTTCACAGTAGTGGATCTGTGGAGCAGTTTCATAAACACATAAAACAAAGATTCTGATCTTCTTTGGACTGAAATGAACCTGGGATGCCACCCTCTCCATTAGAATAGCATCCCCAGGATCCTGCATGCACTTCAACTTGCATTCCTCTTCCTTACATCCTCCTTACAACATCAAATTCACTCCCATTCCACAGCTTATCACAAACTGATTTATAGCTTCATAGGGTAGTTGAATCAAACTGCCCTACACTTCTATTAGATGTGGAGACATTTCAACAGCAAAACAAGGTTTTTTAAAAATATATATGTGTTGTATGTGTATATGTGTGTGTGTGTGTAATGGAGCAGCTATGTTAAAAATAAATACTATGTATATATGTGTATACATACACACACACATACATACACAGAGATGTGTACATATATTTGTAAAGCACTTTAGAGCATTTGGGATGAAATATACACCAGGAAGGTAATATATTATCATATATACTGTACATCGTACATAGGAATTGCCTGCCTGTTGTCTTGCAAGCCAATCCCAAACTATTGGCTAAACTGCTGTGAAACTGTGGAATATTCATAAACATTCCAATTTCTGAGAAACAAGTATTTTTCAAATGATGATCATAACCAGAGCTATAAAGGAAATGAAAGGTTCTCTGGTAACAAAAACGCCGCAAAGAATTACAGGAAAAGAGCTTTGAGCTACTGGTGTGCAGCGGGAACAGAGAGACAATACAGCTGCATTAAAAAAGCTATTAAAAGCAAAGTAGCTGGAATAAGAGAAACAGAAATTGTAACACAACGAGAAGCTAAGGGGAGGAAAGTGAGGTAAAAATTATTGCTATATGGAATCTCTGTGAAAGGTTTAGCAACAAAAAGAATCTTGAGCTACTGAGAGATGTGGAGAAGATAACTAGAATGATGATGTTGTTATGAAGCTCTGAAAACGGGAAGACTGAGAAGGCCATGAAGCTAATTTCTTGTACCAAGTAGAAAATGGTCTTTCACAGAGCAGTGGTCTTTCACAGGACAATGTTCTCTCTCATAAAATAAAATCTGGACAATTTTCTACAAAAGTTCATATGAGGAGAAATTAATATATTTCATTGATTTCTGCCATTTTGAGACAGAAACAATATAATAGGACAAACTAATATCTGTGATGATGAAGAAATTTGGGGCCAAATTCAATATTAAGTCTCAGACATAACACATCCACTGAAACGTATGGGACTTGTTAATAACTAATTACACAAATCCTGTTTTCAATGGGCCCGTTCTAGCTGGGATTAACATTGGATTTAGCCTTTGGGGATTATGAGTAACAGAGTAAAAACTAATTCAAATTGTTATGTCTGTTATATTTTATCTGTTATATTCACACAATCTTGAGATCTCTGAAAAATTACTGAATGTTTATCAAGGCAAGAACAAACTTCACGGCCAAAGAGCTCGAAAAACCCACAACAACCTTTATCAAGGCTCTTGTCCTTTCCAACAGTTCTGCATGATAGCCACTGCTAGTGTGAACTTCATCATTTAGAATCAAGTTTGTGTCAGTGAGGTATTTAGAACACCTAGATCCTTGGCAGAACAAGCTATTATCTTGCAGCTGAGGCTTTTAGGAACAGAGAAAGCTGCCTGGTAGACCAAATCAGACCATTATCCAGTACTATCGATGCAGGTGGGCAGCAGCTCTCCAGGGACTAAGGCAGAATTTTTTTCATAATCTGGCCTGGAGATATCAGAAAATGAACCTGTGACTTTCTGCACATAAAGCTAAATCTCTTTCAAAAATACATTGCAATGCATACTGTGTAATGATAACTTCAATCTCTAGAGCTAGCTGTATTTTCCTATGGGCTAACACTGAAGAGAATAAATCCATCATTTTAGATGAGGCATCCTTCAGTCTTGAGAGATTATGGTAACATGCTCTGTATGGAGGACTTGGAACAGCATCTAGTGTGGCCGAGAAGGCCAATTTCAGAGTGACAATCCCTTCCACACTGAAGACAAATACAATCTGTCCCCTGTCCAGCTCCCTGATTTTGCTGCTTTCATGACTGCCTCTTTGTCTTGGCCTGCTGGACAAGGGTCTCTTCAAATTGGCAGAGGCCATGATGCACTGCCTGCCTCCAGGCTGAACGCTCAGATGTCAGGGTTTCCCATCTGTTCAGGTCCATTCCTAAGGCCTTCAGATCCCGCTTGCAGATATCCTTGTATCGCATCACAGTTGTGTCACTATACTAAAATTTCATACCAAAATATGCAAACTGAAAAGGTTTCTAGTAGAATTAAGGTTCTATTAAGCCTTTTCAAATTGTGTACTTCCTTATAATTCACAGGAGTTCCTAATTAGAGATTAGGATGAGTTGCAGTACAACTGTATAACATAGAATAACCTTCCTGAACCTGTTATCTTCAGATGCAATGGTATGCAAGTCTCATAATCTGTAAGGGCTGGGGAATGAGGAGAGTTCTGGTTTAACATAACGTGGGCAGAGGTAAAAGTTAATGGCCACAATCTTAAGGTGTATTGTTTATGCATGCATGCGCATGCACATACATACGTACATACACATGTACACACACACCCCAAAAACATGTTAACAGTGAATTGGGAATAAGTCCTCTCTGATTCAAAGGGATCCTAATTTCCAAAACATATCTAAAACCTCTTTTCACTGTTCTGTTTTATAGCCTTTCAAAAGGGCTAGAAACTCTTCTCAAAAAGAGGTCACAGGTATTTATAATGATAGTTTGACTAATGTAAAACTGATCACTAAAAATGAGAAAAAATAAACTGCAAATTCTGGTGGCTAAAAAGCAGAATTAACTAGGGCGGTTATTTTGTAATTTAAAGTAAAACAACTGTATAATTGAGATGGTCTTAAGCTGATACTCAACTTCATTGTTGTTTCTTGAAAAATAAAAAATCTAGCCCTCTATCATTTCATTGTTTAGGGCTTTTTAAAATTTCAAAAAATTTTATATAGAAAGGTTGTATGTTTAAAATTTGCCTTAAGGCCAAGAAATGCTTGTTTATATTTGGAAAGTTCAGCAGCATTTTTATGGGGAGGCACTTAAAAAATTACAATTAATTTGAGAAGACAACCATTTTTACAAGGTCTAACACAACAATTCATGTCAGGCAGCATTGAGGGAAATTGATAGGCCCCTTCATGTATGCTGTTCAGCCAAATTTTGCCCACAAAGAATGGGGAGATGTTGCCCTCTTTCCTTTATGTTTTATTCCTCTAGAGCACCACTTCTCATTTGAGGTCTCTTGGTTCTACTGAGTTGCCTCAAATGTGCAGGGAGGAATTTGCAAGAATGTACTCTCCTTCCTATATGTACTAAAACCTACATGTTCTTTGTAATCTCCCACAAAACCTTCACAGTTACTTTTCTATAGAAAAAAAGTTTTGTGTGGGAAAGAAACCTTCCTTTGGCTCTTCTTGATGGAGGAGTGGCAAATTCTGCAATGCTAAAGAAGAGGACGGGGGTAGAGACCTGCACAAATGTGCATGCATTAATGTACTTGAACAGGTTCAATTTTACAAATTGCTGGAAGTTAAACAGAGCTACTATCCCACCTGACAGGCTATGACCTGACCACCTCTGTGCTTCTCCAAGGAAACAGCAATGACCCTGCCCATCCTTCTTAAGATTGATTATCTTTCATACTGGCATTTGTTGCAACAGTGGATACCACTGAACAGAAGACTGTCATCTGAAAAGTAAGACTTGTGGTCCCACATGACCTACAGGAAAAAAAAAGGTTTACTGTAACACAGCCTCTGATGGAATGGAAGTGTGAACTTCCATGCAGCTTTTTCTATTTTACTAATGTAACAAATACATGAAACCAACACTAGTAAGTTTCCACAGGGGTAGCCTGCAGTCTCTTGCAGCAAAACACCTAAGTCTTGTGGCTCTTTAAAAGTTTTATTTGGCATAGGTTTTCATTGACTGTAGCCCAAAGTGGGGTCCACAAAACCTTATGCTAAATAAAACTGGTTAGTCTTTAAAATTGTATAAGACAGTTGTTTCCACTGTAAAATTAAGGGTGAATGCAGAGCTGTTGACTCATAGCAGTAATTATAAAATTCAGTGAATATAAACAGAACTGTGAAGGGTATGGATACAACTTCTGTTTTAGTGTGAAGAAAATTTTATCTCTCTCAACTGCATGATAATTCTTGAAAACAAAGCAAAGATTCAACTAGTAATGGGGGAAAGGCAGCTTTAAAATTATATATTTAAAACATTTAAGAATGATTCAGAAACTCAGTTCTAATTCATTGACTAGTCCAAGTTCGTACTTTGATAGGAGTGATCATTTGTATCCCAGCCCTTACAATAAATGCAAAATTAAGCCCCAGAAGTCTGTAAGAGAAAGCTCCACAGCATCTTCAGTTCTAGCTCTTTCCAACTGAACTGAGTTCCTTTCATTCTTGGTGCTTCTACTATTAATAGCTTCTACTAATCATCTCAGCATCAGCACCCCCTTTTTCTGTTCAAAAGACTTGCATCCATTTGGATCATGGTAACTAAAAGTAAGAGGAATTTGGCCAGGTTTTCTGTTAAGCATTAAAGAGCCTTGCATTTATTTATAGACAGAGGAAGATATCATCCTGCTTAACATATTCCACCAGCCTTGCATTTGAGCAGGGATTTGAGGGGCTCTTGATGTCTGAGTCACTTTTGAGACATTTGAGTTTGACAAGCACTTATTTCTGATCATTTAAAGACATCCAGTCATGTTTCTAGTGCTGAACAATGGATATTGAAGTGCTGGGAAATTTTTTTAAAAGAAATCTAATGTAAAGGTGGGTGAGTGTTGCTCTACCAATCAAAATTCTCCCTTTTTATACTATCCTAATTTTAGCTATTTCATCAATTTCATGAAAATCAAAAGAAGTGTGTTTACTAAAATAAAGAGGAAAAACTAATCACTGTTTCATACCTTAAAAATAATTAGAATCCTAGAAATCTGTCAGCTTTTTCCTAATTTGCTAATACAAGGTCTGCTTAACATTAGGAATACACAAATCCAGGTCAGGTAGACAGGCATGCAGGACGGAGGTATATAAACCCCCCTGCTTCTGAAGCCAGAGAATTCACATAGTAATTATTAGGTGAGTCAAGAGAAAACATTATTGGTTTACCATTATATCGAAAAGAAGAAGAACTGCAGATGATTCTATATAAGCTGAACAGACAGAAATAGTCACAGAAGCAGAGAGAAAAAGGATGCTTGCTGTACATGGCACACAAGTTGCAGTAAAAGCACTGTGCTTTTGGCTGCAAGGGTGACTTGCAAAATATGTGACTATGAAAGCTGAAGTTTGTGATCCGAACTTCTCAGTGTGTTCAATGTGAATCAGGGTCTAGTCAAATTTGAGATGGAGGCTTTAACATGCAGTATGCTATTAATGTAGTTCAATAGACCAATCTGCTCAGACTTTTATCCTGCTTGGTTGATAGCTCTCTCCAGTATCTACACTGCCTTCTCTCATTAGTACCACTGTCACCCACCCTACACTTACTATCCTGTTGTTGCAGATTGCCACCACAGATCATTGATGTAAACCCTTTAGTGCACTATACACCCACACTATTTGCTTTCTCATCTTCAATTAGAATGCAACCTTTGGCCCAACATGTAGGAGAATATATTGGTGGGGGGAGGAGAGAGAGAGAGGGAGGGAGAGAAAGAGAGAGGAAGGGAAGGAGGGAGTGAGACGGAGGGAGAGAGAAAGAGAAAGGGGTGGGTTGTTGTGTGTAGTCTCTGTGTTTTTCTCTTGCAAGGGGCTTAGAAGATTACAGTACCTTTCAGGCCAAAGATGTCTAGGATTCTGTATTGCATTAAATGGTGACACACAGGGACAGGTGGCCTCTATTATTGCATTACAAAGGCTGCTGCTTTCCCCAGTGCAAGCTATGTTTTGTGTGTGAAACGGGCCCACACCTGCTGGAGCTGGGATCTGGAAATACGGAGGACAGAAGGCATGAGTCTGTGGTTTCCTGCTGTGAGGGGCATGTGCCTGCGGTGGGGCATGCGCACGGGGCTGCTCTCCGCCGAACGGCTGCGCTGTATGAAAGTGCCGCCAAGGTGAGGGTACTGTTCTGTCTCCAGGGTTGAGGAGGAGAAAACGGAGGACGCCAGTCTTCTGAGGGGGCTGTACCTCGGGAGAGAGTGCTGAGAATGCCTGTCCTCCTCCAACTGCAAAAGACCAAGAAGAGTGGAGGAAAAGGTGTCAGGCAAAGACTTGACTCGCCCCTGGTTTGTGCTGCATATGCTGCAGAAATCTTCACTGGCGGGTGGCAAACACTTTGTAAAGGGATTTAGCACTGCCTCTGGTTTTACCCCCTTGCTAGGCTAACACCCACATTATTACTTGGAGAGCTCTTTTAGGGGCAAGAAGCACACTGTGTCCTACTATTACGTCTTCACAGAGGGCACATAGTCCCGTATTTCCTTCAGTAAAGTTAGGAATAAAATAACAAGTTAGGAGTGAAGACTCTTTGACTTAAGTCTTTACCTCTTTCCCACATTCCCTTGTATCCTCATCTGTCACTCCCACCCCTTGCCCATTTCAAAATGGATCATATGGTTGTATGGATACAGATCTACATGTTATTTAACTACATTTGTTAAAACAAAAGGCTGCCCATTAGATAATGCAACTATGGCAACAGGAAAATGCAAGCTTTTTACTTACTGAATAACTAAGACCCTTGGTCTAGATGGGTGGGATAAAAATCTAATAAATAAATAAATATGCTCCTTCAAATATTTTGTAAAGGAAAGTCACCCATATGGTCTTGATTGATTGGCAGCTTCTTGTGGCTGTCAAACTAACATGCTATGAACTTTAAAAGGGCATAGCATGGGCTGAAGGGGGTACACTGAACATACATTGACAAAAAATTCAACAAGTTTTATTAACATCTTGCGATGGTACCAAGAGATCTTCACACAAAGTAAAGTTGGTGTTAACACACCTGGGACATGCCCAGTACCCCTTCCCTCACATATTAACTTTACTTTATTCTGCTATTTTCCATACATACGTACATACCAAGCTACACCACTTTAAAAATCCCTGACATTTTCTTTCACACACCTGTGCTGCTAAAATTAAAGACTGATTCCTTGCCTTGCCTTCCAGTCATGAATGGTCTGAACAGATCAATCTGAAGACAAACTAAAAATGTAGGATAAAATACAACAGAAAAATAAATTGGTATGGCATTCTTTCAAGTCAGTAAACAGCAGGTATGTTAATTATTTGTCTCAGAAATAATATATGATATAAACAGTGTTCAGCTGAGTCAACAATGCAGGGAAACCTGTAATCCATGCAGGCCACAGGCAAACAGTTGGGTTTTCTGCAGTCATATTATCATTGAGCTTGAAGACCTGTTTTCTATTGTACCCCTGTGAATCCATTCAACTGCACTTCTCCTAGCCACCCAGAGTCACACGATATTCCCTCAGAATTCACAAGATTCATCTTATTTTGAGAGGCAAGAAGCATTGTAATCGAGTCTTTCTGACATGAAAAGCTTATTTAACTGACTTCTAAAAATCTTCACAAAGATCTTGATCTTCGTTGACAATCTAGTACCCAACTACCTCGACAGAAAACAGTACTTTGTATGACTTAAAGGTCATGCACACATCCTATTTGCTGCTGTTTAAGAGACAGTCAGTTGCTCAATGATTCAGGTTAGTTTAAAAGATGCTACTGAAGGCTCAAATCAATTCTCCTACTTTCTTTCTATTTCAGGATTATTTTCTTGCAATTCAGAAGTGCCCAGCATCACTCCACAGCACTCAGCCCTTCCAGATCTGTTATCCTTGACTGTTCCCTTGTCTTGAATTAGCCCAGTTCCTAGGCTTGTACAATTGGAACTTTCACTGCTTTGATGTCATCTGTGAGAGTGCTCTCCCCAGTACGGCTAATTCCTTGTTGCATGTAGAAACTCCTTATTGCCCCCCACTACCAACTTCTTGCTTTGCTGAAACTGACAAAGCTAGTCAATTTTACAAGACTTACTGACTTGGAGTGAGTGGTTTCAGATCTATGAGAAAAGGGACCAGGGTTTCAACCCACATCAGTCTGAGCCACACATCTCATGTGGATGAAGCCTGAAACATAATTACATAAGAACACAAGAAGAGCTCTGCTGGATCATGCCAAGGGCCCGTCTCGTTCAGCTTCCTGTATCTCACAGTGGCTCCATCACACGCCTCGAGGAGCACATGACACAACTAGATACCTGTCTCCAGATACCCCTCCCCTGCATCTGGCATTTGGAGGTACCTTCCTTTTAAGCCTGAAGATTTTACATCCCCATCCTGGCTTCTAACCTGCAATGGCTTTTTCCTCCAGAAATCTGTTCAATCCCCTTTTAAAGGCATCTAGACCAGATGCTGCCACCACATCCTGTGGCAAGGAGTTCCACAGACTAACAACACAATGGATAAAGAAATATTTTCTTTTCTTGCCTTCAATAAACAGAATACTCTTCAGTCTGCAGCAGGATTTATTAATGTTAATGTTTTAATTATTATTTTTAATATAGAATATTATTATAATATTGCCTATTTTGAATTATTTTAATGTTTTTAAAGCTTTAATATTGTTGTACAAGAGACCACTGGTAATGGTGCGGCTAAAAAAAATCTTGTAAATAAATAAATAAATAAATAAATCAATCAATCAATCAATCAATCACATTTGACTTTTTTGTAGCCACATCACGCTGTTGGCTCATATTCAGCTTGTGATCTATAACAATTCCAAGATCCTCTCACTTGTAGTATTGCTGAGACAGGTATTCCCCATCTTGCAATTGGCCATTTGGTTTCTTTTTTTCTGAGGTGCAGTACTTTGCACTTATCCCTGTTAAATTCCATTCCGTTGTTTTCAGCCCAGTGCTCCAGCCTATCATGATCATTTTGAATTTTGTTTTGCGCTTTCAGGGTATTAGCTATTCCACCCAATGTTGTGTCATCCACAAATGCATTTCCTGCACTTCCTCATCCAAGTGCTTAATAAAAATGCTGAAGACCACTGGACCCAGAACAGAGCCTTGGAGTACCCTACTTGTTACCTCCTCCCAGTTGGAGAACGACCCATTAATTATGACTCTTGGAGTACTATTCTGTAGCCTATTGTGTATCCACCTGACACTTGATCTATCCAGTCCACATCTAGTTAGCTTGCTAATCAGGATATTGTAGGGCACTTGGACAAAAGCTTTGCTGAAGTCAAGATATACTATGACTACAGCATTCCCTGTGTCTGTCAGGGAAAGTAAAGTTTTACCATGCGCTCATAGACCCGATTATACAAAGATAAAATACACAAAAAAGGAGATCAGATTAATCTGGCAGGACTTGTTCTTGACAAATCTGTGTTGGCTTCTAGTTGTTACTACTTTGTTTTCTAGATGCTTACATAGTAACCGTTTTAAAATTTGTTCCAGAATTTTTCCTGAGATTGATGTCAGGCTGACTCACCTGTAGTTCTTTTTTGCCCTTTTTGAAGATAGGGACAACATTAGCCCTCCTCTAATCATCTGGCACTTTCCCTGTTTCCCATGATTTCAAGAAAATAATGGGCAGCAGTTCTGAAAGTTCTTCAGCCAGTTCCTTCAGTACTCTTGCAGTTCATCCGGCCCTGGAGATTTGAACTCGTTCAAGCTGTCAAGGTATTCCTTGACTATTTGTTTATCAATTTCCAGCTGCAATCCTGTCCCCTCCTACTTGCAGTTCACATTTGTCTGGAGGTTCATAGTCTGTCCTTTGGGAAAAAACTGAGCTAAAATAGGAATTGAGCACTTCTGCCTTTTCTTTGTCATCAGTTATCATTTTTCATTTCCATTCAGTATCTGTATCACTGTCTCTTTTCATTGTCTTTTGCTTCACACATACCTGAAGAATGCTTTTTTGTTGCTTTTAGTGTCTCTAGCCAATCTCAGCTCATTCTCAGCTTTTGCTCTCCTAATGTCATCCCTGCATATCCTTGCTACTTGTCTGTACTCTTCCTTGTTGACCTGGATTTCTTTCCACCTCCTATACATGTCTTTTTTTGTTTTCAGTTCCTCTCAGAGCTTTTTGTTGCACCCCCTTTTTCTTGTTGGAATTCTTTGCAGCTGTGCTTTTAGAATTTTTTTTTAAAGAAACTCCCACCCTTCTTGGACTCCTTTTTTTTAGGATCTCCTGCCATGGGACTTTACTAATCCTTGTTCTGAGATTATTAAAACTGGCATTTTAAAAGTCCAGCAGATGTGTGTCGCTACACTCTGCTTTGATTTCCTTTGAAATTAAGAATTTGAGTAGAACATGGTCACTTTCACCGAGAGTTCCCCTTACTGCTACTTCCTCTCCCAAGTAGTCTCTATTGGTTAGAATCAAGTCAGGTCCTCTGGTTTCTTTCTCCACTTTTTGTAGGAGAAAATTATCAAGCACACAAACCAGGAATTTCTTGGAAGGACCACACTTCACAGAATTTGCTTCTCAACAAATATCCGGATAATTGAAATCTCCTATCACTACAACATTGTGTCTCTTTGACATCCTTGCAAATTGTTTTTCAAGTTTCATCCGCTTCCTCTCCTTGATTGGGTGGACTCCCACTACCATGTTCCTTTTATTTTTTATTCCAAATAGACTGATCCAGGTCTGTCAATGGGACATCCAATCTCCTCCTCCTGTATTTCTGTGCAGGAATGCATATATATACTACAATTCCACCTCCGTTTTTATTCTCTCTGTTCTTTTTAAACAATTTATATCCTTCAGTTGCTGTATTCCAGTTATGGGAGTCATGCCACCAAGTTTCAGTTATTCATATCAAGTCATATTTGCCCTCCTGAACTAAAATTTCCGGTTCTTCTTGTTGGTTTCCCATATTCCGGGCATTCATATACTTATAGACACTGAATATCATGTGATTTGTGGCCTGTTTTGTCTTTGTACATTTATATTAACATGATTATTAATGTTGATATTATTATTGACCCTCATTTGAACACTTTGATCTGTTCCTGTAACTATGAGTAAGGTATCTTAAACTTCAACTATCTTAAATTTTGTGTTTGCGTCTCCCTCTCCCTTCCAATTCAGTTTAAAGCCCTCCTGATGAAGTTCTTCATACTGTGGCCAAACACATTCTTCCCAGTCCATGTTTGATGC